TTGGCGGCTACTATGCACTGACAGCTGAATTCGCTAATGATCGCATTCAAAGCTATTTAAACAGCATAAATAAGTTTTGCTGAGCTGTGATCTCAAAGATAAATAAACATTTGCTTAAATGGAAGAATACTGCTTTTCAGTTAATTTTATTCAATTAACATTTTAGTGTCCAAATATCTTTAAATGGGCAGTTCGCTCTTCGTGGTTTGTCAACGGGTCTCGATCTCAGTATGTAACATATACAGCTCCAAACCATATGAGTATAGTGACTGGTTAGTTGAGTTCTTAGCACTATTTCATCTATATCTTTTATGCTGAATACAGGTTTGCGTGAAGAAAGTCATGGGATAATCTCCAATTATTTCTGGGACACGGCCACAGGGAAGTTGTAAGTTTTGGTTTGGTGCTGATAGGACCTTTATCTGTCTTTCTCTGCAATCCAAATTGCTCACTCATCAATAAATATTCGAATTGGGTATGCTCTCCTTTTCGTTTTCGTCTGACAATCTGTTTGATGTTAAAGGAGATAGGAGCTTTTTGAGCGACCCTATAAATAACCGAAGCTTCACCTCTCTTTTAGAGAGGCTCGCACTTGTATTTGCTCGAATACTTAGATTCGCAAGTTGAACGCTCGAAAATAACGCTTTTCTCTTCAAAAAGCCGTCATATGCGCCCTTCCGCTGGAAGCTTTGAGAAAGTAATCCTCTCTTTCCACGCCTGCTTGAGTGGAAAGACCATTTATTCTGATTATAGAGCCCGTCCATAAGCTAACACAAAATTGTCAAACAACTTACTACGTTTTGGCGACAAAATTGCTCATGTTTACTTAGTATTCTGCAGTAATGTTAATAATGATTGGTAACTTCTATCACTTCAGTACAAAAGCTAATTTCATACACGCACACGTGAGATAAATTATGCGCTTTCTTCAAAGCCATAATATTTCTTTTTAATTAGCTAGAAGTTCTCAACTAATAACTTGAGAAAGAAATGTGGATTGTGTAGAAGTCAATTCTTTGGCCTGACTTCCGTTCGGGAACCTATCTTTTGAACTTCAGAAAGACCGAGTATGTCTTGTATTTGGTTAATTTTTCGACATAAACCGCGATGGTGAGAAGCCTGAAGGGCAAACGACAGCTGTTGATTGAATTGCTTTTATTACCTTTTTTCCCTATTATCTTACTATCTCCTTCAAACCACTCCTAAGTACAACCTGGTGTGGAGACCTCTTTCAGCTGCACAATGATGTCTACTTTGCTTTTTAGTTTTGACTACTTCAACAGCACACGCCAACAAGGCGTTGTTAATGCATCGTTAGATTCTTCGTGGTATTTAGGGGAACCTATATGGTTGACTAACGAGAAGTGAGCTTTTTTGCAGATAATTTATCAACATGTACCAAACATAATTCTTAAAGTTGAGTTCGATATAGGGCTGACATCACGCGTCGTTCCGCTTCATTTTATTGGCCAAATGGAGAAGCATCATTTCCAAGTCCACCTCACAAGCCATATATGTACAAGTAAGATCCAACGTAGGTTGACTTATTAGCTAGCTTCTAAGTTAGGTGTTTCTCAGACAGTGGACTGGTTTTGGGAATCTCAGCACATGGATGAGTGACGTTGACAACATCATCGAAATGTTCAATAGTCGGGAAAACCCTGTCAACTTCGTTTCATGGTAAGCTGCAACTGGTTTCAATTCTGGGGAGCTACCGCGTCAAATCAAGCTTTTTATTAGCTTCTTTCCTTGTTTTCTTTTGCTTTTCACGTTTCAGCGAAATGAACAATCGACATTTACATTTTTTAAAATCATGTCTGTTGTCTTATTAGTATAATTTGTTTGCTGTTATCCTTTTCTTATATATTTTCAAACAATGTTCTATAATCTGCCCCATTGACTCAGCCATTAGCGCGATGTATTCTGTCATCCATGCCACTCACTGAATTTTCAAGGTACATCGCTGAACCGGACCATACTTTACATGGGAACGGTTTCTATAATGGCGAACTACGCAAAGTTGTTAGTAAATTAGATAAGCTTTTCGGCTACTTTATCGCGAAACTACGTGATTCTGGACTGGAAGACCATGTGAATGTTATACTAACGGCAGATCATGGACATGCGGAGGTAATTGTTGGACCTTGATTTTTCGAAGGTGCCCAATCATGATTTTTTTTT